ACTCATCTTTTTTCGTACGCACACACACCACACATACATAGTTACCGTTCTTGGATGGCACTTGAAATTCCGCCGATTGCGCAGTGCCTTTCGCATTCTTCTCGTCTCGTCAACTGTGTTTTTCAAGATACTTAAACTCCTTACGTTTCATAAAAATATTATTTATACTCGATAGAGAGAATTCAATAATTAATGTCAAACTTAGTCAGATGAATGTTCAAGGCCTGCGTGCAGATGCCAAAACGCGAGAGTTGAATACTGTACTCGATTTGAAGTTGCTAGAGATGAGATTGGATCAACAATAACAACAGCGACGTACCGCAACAGCCGCAATAATTAAACAATAATCGCAAATGTTAATTCAGAAAGTTAATTCAAAAAGGCTATTGCGTTCACTGAAAAGATATGCTTGACGAGATATTACATAAAATGATTGTACAAATTGTTGTTTCAAAAATTGAAAATCAGTAACAGGTACTTGGCCAAGGCACTTTCGCAGGAAACGAAAAAGTCTATCAGTCACATAAACATTGTTTTAATTGTGGAAATTCAACAGTCACGTCTAATACGTGATACATGGGATAATATAATTGTTTATAAAATATGAATATTTAATAATGCACAAGCATTTAAAACAATGCTTACTGTGCCTGATTCAATATGACAAAAGTAGCTTCGACATATTCTTCGCCTCAGGATTTGAGAACTCAATGTACTACAATGAGTTTGCATGGTACTAGAAATATCGTATTAAAACTTTCACCTGATCATGCAGACAAGATTTAAAATAGAACAGATGCCACTTTTTTCTAAATAATTATTTATATACATATTTATACATTTTTTCCTAAATAATACAGATTTTAGCACTAATAACCGATTCGATAAGAAAAAAATGTTTCCTGTGTTATTCAAATCAATAATTATATTAATATAATAAAATATATAGTAGAACTAATAATCGAATATAGCACATTCTCAAATACTGAAGCGAGGACAGCTCGAAGCTGTAGAGAAAGCGACGAAAGATTTTGTTTCATGCATTTTCTAAAATAAAATTTTACGAGACATTTTAACATGTCGTCTTTTTGTCTATCAATTCGTTGTTATAATCACCGTCTACGCTATTATTGATATTATGATTAAAGTAGGTTTTAAAATTATCATCCTATATTTAAATGTCATCTGTACGTTCGAAATTATCCCATGTATAAATGTCACCTGTACATTTCATGTCATCAATAGAGGAAAAACATTCATTTCGATGTCAATGAACTGCGATCGTTTTTAGTAGAATTCACATGAAATTCTATTACAGGAGGCAATTAATAGCTCTTTTCACACATAGTAGACGTGTCTGTTTATAAAGAGTTCATCGAATGCAGGGAGAGAATTTATTTTACTGATATGGGAATTGTCTGCCGGCAACTTCGATTGAATATTTGCTATTCGAACGGTATATTCTCGCGATAATAGAGAGAAATTGTTACATTAGGATCGGATCTATTACGTGAAATGCGTGCGCCAAAGCAATTGATTTCTTTAGAGCAGCGTATGTACGTATGTATGTATACGCGCGCGCGCACGTGTGTGCATAAAAAAAAAGATTAAACCATGATTTTTCATGACTATATATACTGTGTATAGAAAAAAGGATTATAGAATTTTGCGATGTGGCACAATCACCATCGGATAAATACGCTTACATTTAAAATTTTTTTTAGAAATCTGCGTTTTTAATTGTGTATAAAATTGTTTTACGCCTTTGCACGTCGTATTTTTATACAAAATTGTACAAAAGTCTAAGTCAGTGCTCAGAATTAGTTGTACATTTCAAGCGATTTTTATATGTCAACGCCTCCTTTTTCTTCTTATCGCGTACGTTGCAGCTAGGGCAACAGCCGCTGAGCATTCGAAGTGATATTATCCGACAAATAGTGTTTTTTTGCACGGACCCCAATTATTAAAATTTAAAGATTAGAAGAACCACTTCATTTGTCGGATAGTGGCGCTCCTAACGCTCGGCGGCGCTGGCTCTAGCTTCTACAACGCGCACAACAAGGAGAGAAATGAGACATTGATATATGAAAATCGCTTAAAATGTGCAATTAATTCCAAGCACTGGTCTAAGTTATTGCGTGTGAAATCGAAAAAATTGTAGAATGTAAAAAAATCACGGTTTTCCAGTCAACGGAAGCTCTTTAATTTGGTAAATGGTTATATTTGTAACGTGGATGCTGATAGTAGGGGCAAAGTTTACCCTCGATTAGACATTGAATCACCCACGTGGTGGACAGCACTGGAATCTGCAGCTGACTTGCTCTATTCACGGCCCACGATGGACATGTGTGATTGGACACAATCACGATATCGCTGTCAAAGTCCATTGATTTCATAGATTCTGAAAAACAATGCAAGTTTTTAAGCTTCCGTGTAAATCGTAACTTACTTGCAATCGATTAAACCATGATATGTCTATACTATCTTTATCTGTATGTTTATGCGTGATGCAATATACAGGGTGTCCCGCGTAAGTTGTACCACCGGGAACTGGGAGGTAGATGGGATTGAAATAAATATAAAAGTCCTTTACCGTTTTACGATATTCGTAATAATAAACGAGATATTAATTTTTACAATTGGACTAATGAGAGCGCGATTGTGCGTAGCGGCATAGACGCGAGACGTTAGGCGCGGTGCGGCAAGACGTGAGCTGAGCGCCGAGCCACGGCGCGTTCCCATTCTTGCCTTTCCAACGCGCCGCCCGCAGCCAATGTATGATAGACTAGGCCGGGCTAGACCTCGAGCGGTTCGAGCGCTTCTCTCGACGCGCTCTCATTAGTCCAATTGTAAAAATTAATATCTCGTTTATTATTGCAAATATCGTAAAACGGTAAAGGACTTTTATATTTATTTCAATCCCATCTACCTCCCAGTTCCCGGTGGTACAACTTACGCGGGACACCCTGTATATGCAATATATATGCATCACGCATAAACATATACAGATAAAGATAGTATAGACATATCATGGTTTAATCGATTATATATATATATTCTATAATTTCATTGTCATAAATAAAGATTATTACTATTATATTGTTAATATTATTTTTATAAATTTTATGTATACATAAAACTATTTGAGTCAAATATATGCATTTATATTTATTGAAATATAAATTTACCATGAATATTTAACGAAGAAATAAAATACCTGGACTTTCTGCAATTATAACGATGGCTCCGGCATTTTCGCAAACTTGCCGCCAGAAAGTAGCAAATTGCGCATCACATTTTAATGTTGGAATAATGACAATCGTTTCGGTCAACGGTCTACTATCACTGGCTTGGAATGATTCTACGTAATCCTTTTTATGTAGACTCCAGCCAACTGGAAGCGCTTCTTCCGCCGCACTCACAACTTTTTTCTAAAAATACACGATCGCGAAAAATTACACGATAATATAAAGAAAAATTTAATAAAACAAAAATACAAAAAGATGTAGCTTTATTTTTAAAATAAAGTTTCTTACAGTTGAAAAAATAATTAATGTGCAAGAAGAAATATTATCTCACTTGTAAGCAACATCTGATGATCCAGTTATGATGGTACGCATGTATACCGACAGACAGGCACAGTATGCTCTTCGCCGTGGTGTTCGGCACATTCGTGATGAGTTTTGTGCTCTTATACTCTTCCTGCGGTATCTGATTGAACTCTTCGTAAAGTTTACCCCCGCCTGCCAGGATCTGCGCTTGCAATCTGTCGCGCACGAATGGTCGTTCCAGCCAGTCCTCTTCATTCTCGGTCTCAATGTCTGTCTCGATGTTTTCCGTTTCTGTGCTCGCAGCCCTCTTTAAGTCTTTAAATCTGAAACAACAAAAATAAGAAATAAAGAAAAAGAAGGTAAGAGAAATTTACATTTTTACACTATATTTTTACATTAACATTTTTATCTATTATTTTATATTTTTGACAGAAATATATAATATATTAACAGAAATTTCCTAATTACATACTGAATTTTACTAACGCTTATATAATGATGTTTTGCTAATGCTTTTTGGCGTTTCTTACTTGTAACACTGGAATGATCCATAAATAAAAAAAATAAAAAAAGAGGAAGATACCTGTCGAGTGACTCCAAAGACGCGCAAGTGAGAATGAACGACATGCCTTTGAATATGTTGGAGTTACTCGGCGGGATCGGACCAAGATCCGCGTTTATCTGTGGGTCTTCGTTCTTTCTTTTTTTACTGCGCGGCTTGCTCTTGACTTTATTCTGCGACCCTTTGATCCTCTGCTCATACGGCGTGCCGTTTATCTCGTGTTGCACGCCCCGCAGCACATACTCGTCCTGAATCACTTCGATATTCGAGTCGCTCGACATGCTTTCGTTCTCGGATAACGCGTTCTTCTTCAATTTGGTCAATACACCAGACACTGATGGCTCTGCTTTAATCTTGCTAGCTGAATTGCCGCTCGTCCCGGCCGCATTGCTTCTAGACTTGGGCGTCAAGAAGCTCGGTGTACCGCCGATACGTTTGGAGCGTCGTTTGCCATCCACCATGTTGTCAAGTGTCACCTGACCAAACGCCTTCGGCGTGCTCGGCAGGGAACCCTTGCTCTCGGCATCCATCTCCTCCTTCAGCACCAGCGCCTGATCGGCCGACAGGGAGATATCATGTATCTGCACGCGCAATCGTTCGCCCTCGTCGGTCGCCACCGTATAATACACATCGTCGGCATTGCACTTGCTTGTCTGCACGTCGACGATGATGCCGCAAGAACCGTAGTCGTCAGCTCCTGTAGTCGCGTACACAGATAGGCCCTCACGCAGCGTCTTTAGTATCGGTATCACGAATTCCGGTATGAGTAACTTGCTCTTACCGTCGTAGAAATTCACTTTGTACTTGGTCTTGACTCGGTCAATCACCGTGCCAGGATAGTAGTTCTTGTCCGACCATTTGGCGAACACAATCTTGCCAACGAGATCGTTGATTTGCGTGTTTTGCGGTGACGAGTTTGCCAGCACGTCGGTGTCGCTTATCAGCAGCTTGTCATCATTCTCCAGCTTGCTCTTCTTTCGACTTGGCGACGTGTTTACGTCGATTTCAGAATTCGATGGGACGTTGTCGTTTTCACCGTTCGTCTGTGCAGTGGATTTTGTTATTTTGCTTCTTGCTCGCTTCACCGCCTTACCCTTCTTCGTGCTCTTCGGCGTGACAGCCAGCTCGAGTTCAGATACAGCCGCCTCCGGTGTCGACGAGCGCATACTGCTCTTCTGCAAGTGATGATGATGATCGTCCAGCCGCTCGTTGCTGACGTTTATGCAAGCTTCCGTACCGGCGGGAAACAGTTCCGCGTTCGCGTAATTCAGCACCTTCGTGGTGAGCAAATGTTGGTTTTTCCATTCGCGCGTCATGCGATCATCACAGATCTCCTCCAGCGCCTGCTTGTCCTTCGACAGTGGACCACCTTCCTGCGTGGTTTTCCGTGCATGTTTCGCCGGGCCGACCGGTATTGGGAACGGAATGTTCTTTAGAGCGAGACGCGCGGCAAGAGAGGCGGCGCTGGACGCGGAGCTGGATGAACTTACGGTCGACATCATCGACAATCGGGACGGGAGCTGGAATAATTGAGGATTTGTGTTCACTGAACCAGGAGATGAATCCCTGTTGTCGGAGATATCCGCTAGTGATCCCTGACTGTCCTCGTTCTTCTGTTTGCCTATTGCCGATGAGTTTTCTGCCAACGTAGGCTCGCACTGCACCGCTATTAACTCCTTGCTCATGCACTCCTTCGTTTTCTCATCAATGATTATCAGACACTTGAGCTTGAGATACATATCAACCTCCCGCTCTAATATCTGTAACAATATTTTTTTCATAAATATAATTTGCAATAAATTTCTTCACTTTATGATATTTATGGTAATGTACTACTATTTTTCATTTTCAACAAATGAGAATTCTGAGTACAAAGTAAATTTATACGAGGATAAAAACAAGGTGCTTATATTGAAACTCGTCATACTAATACGTGTGTGTTAGAATCGAATGTTTTCACGACCGAATTTAAATTTAATTGACGAAGGCAATAGCATTTCACCAAATAAAATCGATCAAGTGTTCCAACGATAAGAAAGATATTGTTACTTATTTTAGCAAGCAAAATTTTTATAGTAAAATTTGTATCACAATCTGTTGCAGTGAATATACGGTTAATATGAATGACTCAAGTAACAAAAGCGTTTTATAGTTCACCTTGGTGAATAAGTAGTTCTTGTCCTCTGTATTGGACGAATCGTGATCGCTAATGCTGAGAAGCTCGTTGTTGTCCGGATCCTTGAAAGCGAAGGAACCACTCTTTGCATCACTGTTGCTCGGTTTCGTTGCGTTTTCATGTACGGTGACGTTGGGAGTCGGCGTCTCGCAGCCAGATAAATTTGTGTCCGATTCCACGCTCAGAGTGGCGTCAGTGGATTCGCTGCGTTTAGATTCCGTGCTACCGTTAACCAATCGCTTTTCCATTGTCAACTTGGAGTCCAACGATGACTCCTTTGCGCTCTCCGCCGTGGAACGGCAGCTGATATCGCTACAGGTCTTGTTCTCAAGGCTGCTTTGGTACACCGTCTTTACCTCGCCGCCCTTCTCTAACGATTCGAGGATGCGAATCCTGCTGTGCGAATCGTCAGCGCTCTTCTCGCTCGTGTCGTCGATGATCTTATCGCGCGAGTCATCCACGATTTCGACCACTTCCGCTGATGAGTCCACGATTTTCACACCGTCGTCTTCAATCTGCACCTCGTCGTCGATTTTCCCTTTCGATCGCAACTCATCATTCACGCTATCGTATATCACTTCTATACTTGTACGTGATTTCCTGGAGATAGGTATGGTCTCAGGAACATTGGTCTGTGAAGATGGAATCTCCTCGTTGTCGGAGATCTTCTCAATTATTTCAATTTCACTCGTTTGCTTTGGTTTGTTGCTCTCGTTTGATACCGTTTTTGTGTTTTTTACTTCTATAGATTGGTTTATCTCGTTCAATATTTCGATTTTGGGTCCCTCATTGACGATAGCGATTATGTTTTCCTTCGTTTCAAGTGACAAACTATTATCTTCCGTTCGCGAGTCATTCTCAATTATGGAATTCATGTTGACGACAATGCTGTCGTTCGCGCTGGTGTCAGTTATCTTTGTGGAAAGATTCAGATTCTCATCTTTTTCGACATCATGTATCTCAGGAAAGGTCTGTTGTTGATTTATTTGCTCGTCCTGGGGCTCGCAAACTTTGTCATTGGTTGCTTTTGCTGCGTGTTCAGGATGGTTTTTCAGGCAATTCTGTGTCAACTCCAGATAGCCAACATCTTGAGTTTCTTCTATTATGACATTCTTTTCGATGTCTTTAAACAAATCCTCATATGAATTGTCAGACTCGCAAGACTGGCGATTTTCCTCCTCTTCGCAACGTTTCTTCACATTCGCTGTGTCTTCCTGCGATAGTGTTTTAGGAACTTTAGCGAGTGGTTCTTCAAAAGAGCCAGCTTTACGCTTCAAACTTGTGACATCAATGTTGCTCACTGCTTTTGGTGAATAATCTTGAAATGGTGTACCTTGGATTATTTCGTCTTCGTCTGAAAGCTCATCCTTTTTCTTTGAATCGCATATGTCGTCAGATATATTTCCTTCCGCCTCTTTAACAGCCTCGTTCTGTGTTGATTTTTTATCCTCATTATTTTTAGTTTCTTTATTATTTGTAGTTATTACTTCATCATTTGTCTTCAATTGCGATGCATCTGGTATCTGTTGCACATTCAACTGTTCAACTAAAGGTTTCTGCTGAGTAGCCTCTTTGTCCTGTGCTTGTTTTATTTTCTCACTCTCTCTCATGCTCTCATCTTCAAGCATAAGATGAAAATCCTGACTTTCGTTCGCCTTAGTGTTTTGTGTCTCCTTACAAGTTTTTTCTTTGGTATCCTCATTGGCACCTTCGTAGTAAGTCTCTTGTGTGTCTGAAACACATTTGTTTGCTTCCTCTGGACTCAACATCTTTGATAGACTGTGTCAAGCACTCTAAAAATAAGATTAATGTATTAATTATATATTCTCTATAAAACAATATTACTAATACTGCATAAAACTAATTTTTTATTAGAGGAATAAAAAATTCTAAATTTTGCAATAATAAATATATTATAGAAAGAGTTTATACTATTGCTCGCACGCATACACCACACATATAAAAGCAAAAAAATGTTAATGATACAATCATAGTTATGTGTGTACATAGTTATATGCTGAATGTGTATATACAACACATTCTTCAATGATCGGCGAATTCCGCGTACATATAGCAATTTGCGTGGGTGTTAAAATGGCGACACAAAGGTTACGGCGGGAATGTCGTGTCATGATGACACAATCTAATAGAAATAGCGGAACACGTGCAGCTCACCGATAATCAATACATATAGCGTAGCGTCCCCTTTGATTGGGAATATTTTCGTTGCGAGAACGAAATAGTCGCATTTGCCTAACACCGCACAGATTAACAGAAGCGAACAACGTCCATGAACGTGACGTTAGTAGCGTCGCGGTGTGGTGAATAGGAGAACTCACGCAATAACTGACGTATAGGTTATGTGATTATCATGTTGTGTAATCTTTTTGCGAATATCTGTAAAAGTAACTGGGAAGAATGTAACTAGATCATTAGTGACATTTTTTTAAGTTGCAATAGTGCAGTTGTAGTTTGAAGTTGCTGCAACCCCTCCTCTTTTTTGACACGTGCCAAGCGCGGCGTGATAGTAAGATAGATTGCCGGATGGAATTTACTAATTAAAAGATCGATGTAACGGCCGGTAAGCTTCAAGGAGGCTTTAATTTGCATTAATGTAATTTCACGAGGATAATATTTATGCTTTGTTTATCATATGAATTCAGTGTGGCATTACATTCGAGTTGTCGATTTTTTTAGGTTATGGCGGAGCTACCTTTGGGTTGCTTGGCGGGAGACACAGCGTATAGTTAATATTAGACTACTCTACGGATCTTTTTAGAGAAGCGTTTTCTGCTGCTTTGAGATGCTTTTATCTCTGACAAACGCGATGGAATCTGAATCACTAAATTTTAATTTGGTGTTTGATTATGTGTCTGTGTTTGCTCCAGTTCTTTTAATCATTGTTACATGTTTGACGATTTTTCATAGGATAAAGTGAGTGATTTTCATAAATTTCTGTATATTTCTAAGGGATATGTATATTTAATTACATATGTATTATTTACTTTTTACATTTTATCTTTAAAAGAATGTTATTCATGGTGATTATATCTCACAGATCGAGATGGCCTGTGAAAGTAAACTGCTGGTTTTGCAATGAGAACACAAAGATCCACAGACAAGATTTGGATTGGTGGTTGTGTTCTTGGTGTGAGCAGTACAATGGTTTCTGCAAGGTAAACTCTAAAAACTTATCTAACAGAAGTTTTTTATTAGGATATTGATCCATATAAAATCAATGTTTCTTTTAGAACGGCGACTATGCATACGATATTCCAGAGCAATATACAACATTACACACGTCTACAAAGTACTGTCAGTCACCGCGAGGAAATAAGGAAGCATACAATATTCCTAAGAGTAATCTCTGTATGGGCTGTAACAAGCGGGAAAACTTGAAACTATTGGAATTATCCAATTTTGAGCCTAAAGACGAAAATCTTTATAGTACGGAGCTAAAAATGTTTACAGAATACTTGGAAAAAAGATATCCACTCTGCAATAATTGTAAATCAGTAGTGCGAGATGTGCTACGTAAACAAGCATTGTGGCTCACTTACTATAAAATGTTATTCTTTAGGCAAAAACCAGTTCAGGCGCTTATCAGTGTAAGTATATTTGCAAAAAAAATAAATTATTGTTATATCTAAATTTCTGTTTTTTATATTTATTGTTTGCAATGAATAATCGTTTGTTCTCTTGCAGAGACGATCAAAAACAATTTCTCGAGTTATCTCAATAATCCTCGACTCGACTATCATGTACAATCATGACTGTGTATGGTTGCCAATCGGTGGATTGTTCTTTCACCTGCATGTTTGTTGGACGAGTTTGATGAAGAGGAAGACATTCGATGTGTTATTGACATTTTTACGGTTCTGCATGATGAGTCTTATATCTGCCAAGAATTTAACAATTCTTCAGAATGACTGGCTTACAGCAGAACACATTGCACAGTATCACATGGTGAGCTGTGTACAAGATGAAAAATATTTAAATCTTTATTAAGTTAATTTAAATCTTTATATATAAATCTATATTAATCTTTATTTAAAAGACATTATTTAATTTGGTGTTATCTTTTTTTCAGATAACAATATGCGTATTTATTATAGGTTTCTTGAATGTAAAACCTAGTTTACATGAGAATAAATTCAGCGGCTCAGTGGCGTTTAAGAAGCTTAAATCGCTTTCACGGGACACAATCGCATCTCAGTTTTTGTATAATAATGAAAGCAAAAATAACAGTTTTTCAGACGAAATGGATAGCAGTTTTGAATCGGCAGTCTGTGCAGCAAGCAAACTATCTTCCACTGAAATTAAATCACATTCAGCAATGCAAGTATTTTATGTTTTTCCTGTGTGTATGAACATTTATTACTTCTGTATTTCTATTTTTTATACAAAAAAGTTTTAACTTTATCATTGGCTCTTTTACTATTTTGTATTACAAAAAATATTTTAAATTTATCTTCTTTTACATATTTTTATTTTTATTGTTATACATATTTATTATTTTTATATTTAGTATTGTATTATATGTATGATTTCTATTTCTTTTAGATCAAAACAGAAGTTATCTATGACCACTGGGAGCAATAGTAATCCGAACTCCGTCTCTCAGAGCAGTCCACCAGATAACTGTTGTTTGAACGATAGTTTGAGCACTCTCTTTCTGAGTGAGGATTCGCCGACTTGCAACAGAAACGCAAGAGTGGCGCCGACTATTTTCGAGAGAAAAATCTACAGCGCAGTGAGCTCTGAGAATCTGTTCAAAAAATCCATTAACGCGTTTAATAGAAGAAACATTCTGTCGCCGCCAAAGCTCAGGTCGGTGACGCAGACCTCGTGGGTGGCCGGCGGTTACTGGCAGGACGGTATGATGACCACGCCGCCGTCGCCGCCACCGATATCGCTATCGCGATCATCCAGTCAGAGTTCCGGTTTTGGCTCAGCCAGCTCTTCGAATCTCGCACCGTCCCGCGAGCCATCCGTGCTGAACGAGCTCGATCGCTGCTCCGTTGTGTCGGACGCTACGCGATGGTCCTCACACACACCGTTACCTCGTGTGCAGTCGCGGCGCAACGATGCCGCGAAGAATTGCTCACAGTCGCCGTCGCCGATTCCAGCGACGCGCGATCTGGATAATCACGTCCATAAGTGCCACGTTCGCGGGTCGAGCGTCGGAAATTCGGACGACCCAACACCGACAGTGTACGTCGGTCACACGACCACCACGGTTGTCACGAGTCCCGTTTGGCTGTCCGCATTGCTCTGCGGCTCGCTAATATTGAACATCATAGTGCTGTGCATTATGCTGTTGCGTTAACGCGATAAGCGTCGCGCTAATCAACGTCGGGTTATTGTGTTCACACTATTTATACATCTCGCTAACGCTGATTAATCGTTGAGTACTCGCCGAATCACGTCAATTTCACCCGAGAGATTATTCATTTGTTTATATTTGCTTATTTTGTTTATTGAATTTTTTTCTCACGTGCAATCTTCGGTTGTCAAATTCTGTTAAGAACTTGAAAATTTAACAATTTAATTTTCTAATCTAATTCGTATGTATTTTCTTTTTGAGTGCTCGATAAAAAAATGAGTACTACTGCTGATTAAGGAACGACTTACATCTTCCATTTGCGATCTACTGAAACAGTAGATGCTAATTGAAATCACACTGCCGATGTATTTCCTGTGAGCGGATATACTTGCCTGTCGAACATATCCGCATGTCTTCACTTACTATCCATAGATTTTGTAAGCGTATAAACACGTCTTTTTATGCATCACTCCAGTTAAAACGCGCAAGATACATAACGAAGATGTTCAAGAATATTTGCACATCGTATTTTCTTCTTTAATAGGTTTTACCGAAAAAAATATTGCTGCAAGATGTTTCTATTGGAATATATTGTTTTTATTTTTATATTAATAGACATTATATTAACTAACAAACTTACAGCATACCGGAGAGAAAAATAAAAAGATATTTTTCCTCTTGTGTCATTTTTTTCTTCGTGTAAAATTTGAAAAAAAATGCGATGTGCAAATGTTTTTTTTGCGCATTGCACGTATTGTTATATTCGAATGAAGAAAAAAACCGATGACGATCCTCCGTGTGTTCCTTAGTAAGAGATACATATTTAGCTTTAGAAGTAAGATTATAAGAATATTTGTTCACGCATTACGCTGAAGGTTTCTTGTTTTTCATACGTAATGTTATGTCGACGAGACCGATTGTACATATATTGCCGAGAATTTTGTAAAGAGAAAAGATGTGAGAAATATGTACACACACTCAGTCTCTTCTTAATTTATGGACTAGTGTACTTGTTGTAACAATCATGTTATATTGTGTATTCCGTTTATCATATGTTTTGATATCTACAATATTGTACACCTGTATTGATGAGAATAAACGCGATCTTTTTCAGTATTGCCTCTTACAAATAACTTTTATCCTTCATTCTATTAAATTTGCTAATGTAATAAGATGCACAAACAATAGGATTAAACACAATTCACGCAAAATAGCTGCAGAACAACTTTTCTTGATTTTCACAGAAAATAAATTGGACTTAAAGCTATTTCTAACCGGAAATTAAATTTCTCAAACTCCAAATCATCAAAATAATTAATGAAGGATTTCACATGAGATGTGTATGTATAATATACTTTATTGTATTACCTTACAAATATATTTCTTTCGGAGATTATTTTGCCGGGACAGTATGCAGTGCATGACAATAAATAAATAGGTGTGAGTTACAGTCGTTTCTTTGAGTTACATGTGTTTCTTTCTTTATTCTTGTTTTTTTTCTTTTCTTCAATATTAAGCATCGTCGTTTCGATAATCCGAATAATGATAATAATAATAATAATAATATTAATAATAACGATATCTTAAAATTACAGCTTTAATCCGATAGGGGAATATTGTATTACAATTTAATAATATAGTACCTTGTTAGCTACAGCCTCTCTACACCCTGCATACAAATCCACTACCACCTAAAGTCTAGGAAAATGTTTTTAGAATTGCGTCTATGCGTTTCTTGTGTTTTTTTTTCAATTTTTAAAAATTTTTTTATTTCGTTCGCTACTTTTGCTGTCTCAGATGAGGTAGATCCGAACTCGATTTTGCATTGATGCGGAAGATATTTGCGAAATATCTTGGGATAGAACGGAATCGCTCACAGCTTATAAACATAAACATCTATCATTTGCTGAGATTCAGTCTCGCGCAATGAAACGGGATTCGATGATTCATGTTTCTTTCTTTTTGAAAAGTTTGCTCGTTTCTCGAGACACGGAAAGGTTACGATTGTAGATCGACCTCTTCTTTAACAGTGACTTGATTTGACTTGACTGGCTGGCGGACTGACTAACTGTGTGCAAATGATCGTTAATTGCGGTCACAGGCGCGCCGAACAGACATTAAGAAAATAATATGCTAACAGCTCTTCCCACGAGTTCCGCGTCCGTCGAAAATCCGCCCGGGGCCCGGACCTCCGGGTGCTCCGACTAACCCCCTCCCCCCCCCCCCCACACACATATACACAGGCGTACGGTACAATAGTAGAATTCGATCATACGTGAGATTGTTATCATCTATCGTAGATATCGGTAGTACAGAGTGATTTTTTATCCTTTGCATAATTTCTTACATTTGCAAGTTTCTGTATATTGCGAGAAAAAGGAGACAATGGAGTGTTGAACGAAGCCGATGATTCTGTTATTCGATGATAATTTCTTATCGGGAGGGAAATAACATTCGATGCATGCGATATTACAATTTTCAGCGCGGCATGATTGGAGAGAGACAGACACATTTATCTAAAAGTGGACACGCGTCAAAGGGAGAGAGAAACATTAACATTACAAGTGTGTGTTATATCTGCGATAAATACATCGTGTGTGAAGAACGCACGCTCGCTCTCTTTCACGACAGAAGAACGCGCGTCTAATTGTTCTCCTCACCGTAAAAACTAACGCGACATACGTTAACAGCGCGCGCTTTATATGGGAGTTTCGTATATCGTATATATATTTACATATACATTCGACAGAAAAATAGTTTAACGACAATTGCACTCGCATTAATGCACCATGGCGACGCTCGGCATGTCGCCCTTCTGCTTCGCGTATGAGCGAAAAAAGGAAACGCGACTTCTTCGCCCACCACACGACGCGGCTGCGTATCACAAAAGTTAAGGGAGGCTGCGCCAAGTTTTCACACGAAAGAAAAGGGTGCGATTTATATTCATTATCATTAAATATAGGCGTTTTGCAAGCGCCGAGTGACACTTCCGCGTAAAATCGAATCCGCATTTATAAATAGCCTTTGCTCGCACAGGGAGATTACATCGAGTGTATTTCTGCGCTGAGAGGATTCTTGTAAAAGCAATAATAAACGCGAGAGATTGCCGAGAAAATGCGTGAGAAAAGGCCGTCGTTAACTCTCGCCGGAATCGCGCCGTTCAATCTGGCCGATCCGTATCTCATCTCAATGAAATCAACACGATACTACCATCGAGCCCGCGAGAACATCATGCTAACAATAATTAGAGTCAATTGCGAATAATCGAAGATCCCGCGATTATTCGCCGAATAATGATTGACTGAATTCCAGTTCGAGAGTAGCTCTATAAATAATTTACAAACGTGACATTATACTTCGCATATAAATGGAGCGGAAAAAAGACGTAGAAAATAGCACAATATATAAATAACACGTGATGGAATTAAATTAAGATTAAAAAGAAACGGACAACAACAAAGAGATCTAAAAGAATCGAGTTAACGACGCCAGCAAGAAATTCCAAAAAGCTCGCAGTTTTTTCCTTCTTTTTTAGGAACATAAGTAGACTGTGGTGCATCGACTCACAACCGTTCATTCGTACATTAATTCCGGCCGTTTGCTCGCAAAGAAGAAACTCCGAGGTTCGTCGAAAGGCTCGAAGTTTCTCATCGATCTGTGCGTTGACGCGAAAATAAAATTAAATAACCGGTTCACAATTAATCTTTGGAAATTAGTCGATGAAGCGAGAAGTAAATAAATCGAGCGATACAACGGTCGCTAAATTCTTTCTTCTTCCTCCGTCGGTTTTTCCGCAAGATTCCTCGTCACTTCGACGATGCGCACACACACAGAGAGAAAGATATCGGCTCCGTAAAAAAAGGTGCAAAGCGCTCGAGGAGAGGCAAATTCTACGTTTGACTTCGGATCAAACGTGCCCTCCGGCGAGATGTACGCGAAAGTCGTACCGTTTTTTTTTATTAGCGTACTCTTATCAGTTACGCGAGGAAAAAGTTTTCTTATGATTACGAATACTTGTTGTGTGTGCAAACCACAATCAACTTTCACAAATTTCGCTCAAAGCCACATGTCCGATCGTTTCCCGGCTCGTAGAACCGAAAATACATTTATTAAGCCTTCGGTATTCTTCGTCTCTTTCGAGATTCTGAAACTCATAAGAGATCGCGACAAGCTTTTTTCTGTTTTCAAATATTAGGCTGAGTGCGATTAAAACGGGAACGCTCGGAATGCAAATCGCTCCGAGAGAGTGGCGAGAGGCTTCTCTGCGTGTGGTCGTCCTTTATTATCGAATCATCATCATCACCATCATCATCATCATGCATATATGTGACACATTAAATTAAATAATTTATAAAAATTAACTATTTACATCGACAGGACAT